ACAGAATTTGTGATGGAAATTATCACATTCATCTGTTCCATGTCTTTGTCAGAGGGTCCCTGATTTAGGGGCATTTTCGTCATGGTTCTATTTTTGAAAACACATATTTTCAATTTACAATTCATACTTCTACCAAGGATTAATGGGCTATAAATTGGCACAACTGTTTGCATTATCTCCTGAAGTTTAAAATACCCACTCCACATGACCAAGCAATCCTACCCCTAGGTGTTTATGACATGTATGTGTAACACGGGTACTTTTACATGAATGTTCACAGCAACTATGTTAACAGCAGCCAAAAAACCGCAAGCAATCTAAATGTCCACCAATAGTGGAATGGATAATAAATTGTGGAATATTCATACAGCAGAGTACTATACAGAAATGAAAATGAATGAACTATAGCTATACATAACATGGATAAATTACACAAACATAATGTTAAAAAAACACACACACATAATAGTACAGTATGAGTCCATTTATATAAAAACTCAAAAACAAGCAAAATTAAACTGTTGTTTAGGAATACAAAGGTGGTACACGCGGAAAGAAAAACAAAGAACATGATTATCACAGAAATCAGACTAGTAGCTGTCTTTAGGGACTTAGGAGTCCCTGGAGTGGTACAAACAGTTAACGTACTTGGCTGCTAACTGAAAGGTTGGAGATTCCAGAGGTACCTCAGAAGAAAGGCTTGACAATCTACTTCTGAAAAATCAGCCACTGAAAGCCCTATGAGGCACAGTTCTACTACAATACACATGAAATTACCACAAATGAGAGTCAACCTGATGACAACTATTTTTTCCTAGGGATTGAGAAGCCATGACCAGGAAGGGACCTGTGAAGGATTCAGGGGTGATGGCATTGTTCTATTTCTTGACTAGGTGGTACACAGGAGTTCATTTTAGAATTTTTCATTAAACTGTACGTAGATCTGAATTTATACAGAGATACATATTTCAGAAATTCTAAAAAATAAAAAATACCCACTTTCTGACAGTCCACAGCTCTACCTACAGCTTGCCTTGACCTAAACAAGAAACCTAAAGGACCTTTTCACCTATTTCATCAAAGAAGGAAGTTAATCTATCATTTCTTATGTTGTTGCTGTTACGTGCCATCGAGTCGGATCCGACTCATAGCGACCCCTCCTTGGGTTTCCGAGGCGGTATCACTACAGAAGTAGATTGCCCAACCTTCCTTCCAAGGAGTGGCTGGTGGGTTTGAACTGCCATCCTTCTGGTTAGCAGTCAAGTGCCTTAGACACTACACTACACTACCAGAGCTCCCATTTCTTCATGTGAAAGTCACTTTAATAACAGAAATCACAATCCAATGTGGGGATTAGGAAGAATTCAAGTGATACCTAGGGAGGACTTAAAACATCTGAAACAGGGCAAGTAAATACAAGGTAACAGAGAAGAATAGGTCTTCATGTAACACCTCATTCTGAAGTTAACTGGAAAAAAAAAACCCTGACAAAAAAAGCATGGCACAATGCCCAAACCATACCCAGTTAAATTAAAAGAATGTATGTAAGCTTGAAGCTGCCATAAAGGAGGATGGCCATACTGAGAGCCTCTGACCTCAGTTACCTCTTTGCAAAAAAGACAATTCAATTTTACAAAAAATTCAACCACTACTTCATCTTTTGTTTGAAATGGCAACATAAGCTAGAAATGAAATGTGGAACTGCAGAGGATCATGGACAGCACACAAATTATTCATCACTGAGGACTAGAAGGACATTGTCTAATGGGTAAATCTTAGTTGGTGAGCTGATGAAAACATTATCTACAACAATAATTTAAAAGGCAGATCTCAAACTTTAATAGTTTATAACAAAGATATTCCAGAACAAGCATGCCTGAAAGGTATATTAAAATTTTAAGTCTATCCTGGGTAAGCTTGGCTACTTTTTGTTGAACCATGTAGATCCCTAGAAAAGCTGATATCTTGCTATGTAAAACCTGAAAGTTGCACTGACTTACATTTTAAGAGGAGCAAATAGTCCAAATAGTAGCCTGTGGATGGATTCAAAGATGCAGTTCTACATCTTCAATTTTCCAGCACTCAGTAATTTCTGGCAGACAGTACCCAGAATGATTGACAGAATTTGTCATGTTTCAGTGTTGTTAGAAAAAACTGTGCACACATATTTCCAGTATGATTATAAATCACCAATCACCATGTTGAATGTATTTCTGCTGCTTGTCTTGGGTTCTTAAGACCTGTAATATTCTGAAGATAGAACAAAGAAGTTCTTCCCATCCAAAGCCTCATTTTACCTTTGATTCTTAATATACAAAGCATTAAAAAAGTACTCCCATCAGGACCAAATTTGACTGACTACTAATTTCACTTCCTTTTCTTTAAATATAATGAAACAAGCCTGTAAAACAAACTAGCAAATGTTTTGTCTTAGAAAAAAGAGGTGTATTTCTCTTAAGACAAACCTAGAACTCTCTGGCATCTGAACACTGCTGGGGTAATAAAAAAAGCTGAAAAGGATTGAACTCCTTTATCAACAGTGACTTCTGCAGCAATACATGGACGGATTTTAGAAATTTCTGATGAAAAACTCTGAAATAAAAAGGAAGCAAAACACTGATTCTCTGGTTGTTCCATTTTCTGGGTAACTTTCTACATGAGGCAACCGTGGCTCCTCAGTTTGACTAAAAGTAAGCTCCTCCAACCCTTACAAAAGGAAAGGCTCTGCTTAAAATTTAAAGCGGTATTTTAAAAGGTGGAGTGTTTCACATCATTTACAGAAAAGAATCCTTCTGGAGCACGCAGAAATGACGTGTAGGAGTTGCGCTTATGTTAGAACTAGTTTCTAATGACAAGAAAGCAGGTACCGTTGAAGGATCTTCTAGGATTAACCTCTCTCTTCCAGCACAAAGCGTTAGAACAAGGTGAAGAACCCTGGAAAAGAAGGAGCCTCGCTGCCTTTGCAAGGCCAGCAGAACTCGGTTTCCAAAGCCGGATAGCGCCTTTCCCCAGCACCCACCCCGCACATAGGCCTGAGCTCACCGCATTCTTCGAGGCGAACTAGAAACCTCACCCCCCTGGCACAGCAGAGTCCGCAAGTCAAATGGCACTGCTGGTTAGGTTCTCCCCAGGCCCAAGCCACAGCGGCCCGGGGACGTCATCAGAATCCAAAGAAGAGGGTCCAGCCCGCAACCTTCCCCGCACTGAGAGATGCCCGCCTGCCACCCTTCGAAAGTGCTGCAGGGCCGCCACCCAACAGCAGGGCGCACGCCCCAAAGTCGGGGGTCGCGGGCGGGCGCGCGCCCCAGAAAGCCGCTCTTGCCCACAGGCCGCAGCTCTGGGAGCCAATATCCGGGCCGGGGACGCGCACGTCGTCGGTGACGCGCACCGGGAAGGCCGCACAGCGCGGGCGCGCGCGCGTACAAACAAGCCTGGCCAAGCGCGCGCGCGCCGCGCCCACCCGATTCCTTGGACTGCCCTTCCCCCACCGACGAGATAGGGGCGCGCGGGTCCAGGGACGTTCCGGGCTCCGGAGCCACCTGGAGGTCTCCTGGGCCCAGCGGCAGCGATCTGCCCGCCCCCGCCCGCCGTTGTGTGGGGTGGGCCCACTATCCCAGACCCGCGGCCTCACCGCATCCCCACCTCCGCGGAGCCCTCACCCGGCGACGTCGCCGCCGCCGCCGCTCTGCCTGCCGGCCCCGCCGCACCGCCCGGGGCCTCTGCTCTGCCGTAGCCGCTCCAAGACCGACAGGATTTTCCCCTCACAGCTCCCTGGGCGCCATCTTACATTCAACCCCTACAGCCAATAGATGCCGAATACCCCTCTCGCGAGATTCTGAGCGGCCGATCCCGCGAGAACTGGGGGGTGCCTCCCGGCCAGACTTAAAGGGAACGCTTCAGCCTGGTAGGTAGGCCGCACCTCTGCCTAACGGAGCTGGGACCTGGGCCCAAGAGAGTGGGACGGACAGCCCCGCCCACGAACGTCCCTCCATTCAGGGCGGAGCCAGGGCCGTGGCCTGGCCTAGCCCGGGTGCCCAGACACGTTCGAGGACTATTCCTGATCCTAGGCTCTCTTACTGGGCCCACTGTCAGTCGCCGACCGCAGCCTCCCTCGTCCGCGCAGTGCAACGTGGGGCGGGGCCCCGCCCGGCCTCTTGTTTAAGGTGGCCTTTCACAAACCCCTGACTGAGATCGGGCACCCCCGCCACGACCCCCTTGCTGAGCCTCATATTAGTCACCTCAGAAGGTACCAGTTTCTGGGGCCTTTGTCAGCAGCTACACAGTGCAAGCCTGGCCTGCCGCCTCCGGTCCACCTTAAAGTAGGCCTCGGGTGGCCGGCTGTTTGTATACAGGGAAAATGTGGAGAGTGTTAAAGCTGCAGGCACAAGGCAGCCTCACTAGCAACCCACCATGCCCCAGAGAGCAACCTGACAGCTTTAAACCCTCATTACCTCTGATCCTTTTGCACTTGCTATGCAAACTCCCTCAAGTCCCTTAGAAGTCACTTCCCAGCAGAAGCCTTTTCTGAGGCTTAGACAGGTCAGGGATCTCCTCTCCTCCAGCCTCACACATGCCTGATCACTCCTCTATCTTCCTGCCTGAGCAATGAACTTGGAAAGACACTGCAGCATTTCTGCCTCATCTTCCTGTGCCCCACACATAATAGGCTTCTAGTTATTATTTCCTAGCTTGGTGCCAGACCTCTGTTTATCTGCCTGGATGTACAGGCCAACACAAACCTTCTGAATGCCTCTGGAACAAGGCTCCTAACCATAGAGCAACAGCACAGAGATAAGGTGTAGAGGATAATGAATCAGGCCTAGATAATGAATCTGCTCTTGAACACCAAGAAGTGTGCCAGTGGTTTCAAAATTGTCAGTGCTGCTCCCTTCTGGGGAAGCCCATTCTCAGAGACAACAGATATACCCAGTCCACCCAACCCAGCATGTCTCCAGGGCCCTTACATGCTGACAGGGGAGAAAGGTAACACACATATTCCAGAGGATTTAGCCGTTCTTTATTGACATGGACTCTGGGGTAGTGAGGGTACTGTCAGGCCTCAGGAAGATAAGGTAGGTCCAGGTCCACTGGACCTCCCACTCACACCTTCCCTGGATCCTCCTTCAGTGTGACAGTCCGGTTGAAGACAAGCTGGAGGGCAAGGGGGAAGAAGGACTATCAACTCAGAATCAGGCCAGAGGTCTAGGTGGATCTTACCACAGACACATTCCATACCCCATCCCAAACAAGCTTAGAACTGGGCTCTCAGTGGCTTTGTCACTTTGAGTAAGGAATGAAATGGCCCTGGAGCTCACAAAGATCATCACCACCCCTGGGCTTGCCCCTCCCTGAGGAATAAGAAAGGCAGGACATACATAATTTTGAGTCTGTTTCTCAAAATGAACTGATAAACCCCCCTCAGGTGGGGAAGATTAACTGAGCACAATGCAGCCATCACAGCCACTCTTGCTTAAAGTGGGAAGCAGATGAAATCACGTACCTGTCCTTGATGGCTATCTGGATCCACAGAGAAGTACCCAAGTCGCTCAAATTGGAATTTGTCAAAGGGCTTTGCCAGGGCCACAGAACAGTCCACTAACGCCGCATCCACCACTTGTAGCGATGTCTGTGGACAAGGAACTCAGATGGTCATCTAGCCTGGGAGGCCTACCACCTTCACCCCACATCCTAGGAGCCTACCGGGTTCAGGTCACTTAAGAATCCACCAGGCACCACATCAGGATCCTCAGGGTTCTTATGCTGGAATCTGCAGCCAGAGAAGAGGTCAGACCCCAGCTGGGTAGACACAGCAGGCAATACCCATCTTGTACCTGCCTTTACCCAGCTATGTTCACTCACAGTCGCTCATAGAGGCGAATCTCACATGTCAGTGGCTGGGAAACCCAGTGAATAAAAGCCTTAGGCTTCTCTCCAGCATCTGCCCGTCTGCAGATCACCTCCAAGCTCTCCACACAGCCACTGGGGCCCTGAAAGCGGGGGAAAGAGGGAGGACAGACAGCTGCAGTTCAACCTGGGGACCACTATCAGGACTGCAGGCTGCACCCAGATCCCAGCCCCAGCAGGCACTCCAGTAAGAAGGCTGCATCTGGCTCTCACCTTGACAACATGCTGCAGCTCAATGACATAGCCAGTGTGCCTCAAACCCACAGGTTGGCCCCACGCCAGGCGCTTATAGCCTGGTTCTGGCTCCTGAAGGTAGGAAGTATAGTAGATGTAAGAGGCTTTAAGAGTAGAACAGGTTCCTCCCTGGCCCCCATGTCTGGAAGGGGTTGGTTTATCTGAAGTAGGAAGTAGATGGGCTGACAGAGGGGATGAGGAAATGAAAGGAGTCCAGGACCAGGCTCAGTAGCAAGCATTCACCTCCTTGTAGTCTGTCTGCTCAATGAAGACGACAGGTGCAAAAGGAACCTGGTGGAAGCCCTTGCTCTCATCAGCTGGGAAGTTAGGCACCTGGATGTCCAAAGACTATGGCAAAAGACATGTCTTGAGTCACACCAGGCACTGGTGAACCCCCACCACACACACACACACAAAGGCAGGCCCACCATGGCCGCAGGAAAATTGGTGATGATGACCCGTAGTGGCTCCAACACAGCCATGGCCCGTGGGGCTGTGTCATTCAGCACATCACGCACACAGGCTTCTAAAAGATGTGGTTCCATTGTAGTCTGTGCCACTGTCACCCCCACCTGATAGGAAAGGTCAGCATTAGTCACAGCCACAACCACAAGACCCCACGCTCAACCCCCATCTGCCATCCCAGCCCATTACGTTGTACCCGGGCACAAAAATTGTTGATGGCTTCAGGTGGGAAGCCTCGCCGCCGCAGGGCTGTCAGTGTGAAGAGCCGTGGGTCATCCCAGTCCCTGAGAGTGAGAAGGAAAGGTGAGAAGGCCTTCAGCAGCACATGCCACCAGTACCAACAGCCTTTGATAGGTCAAATAGCCACACCTACCGCACAGCACCAGCTGCCACAAGCTGAAGGATCTTCCTCTTAGACACAACAGCATAGTGTAGGTTGAGGCGGCCGTACTCCCACTGCACAGGGCAATAGACATCCAGTGCGTTGCACAGCCAGAAGTAGGAAGAGCGTCTGGGGTGGGAGGATATGGTCAGCACAGGACACCACTGGGACTAGACACAGACCCCAGGAAGAGCTGCAGAAATCCCACCAGCCCCACCCAACCCCACAGACCAGCTCCCTCACCGGGCCTGGAATTCTTTGGTGCAAAGTGAGTGAGTGATATGCTCGATGGAGTCACAGAGGCAGTGCGTGTAGTCATAGGTGGGGTAGATGCACCTGTAGGGCACAGGCATTGGGCCAAACCATGGAACTTCACATGGCCCATCGCCCCACTGTACAATCCAGCCACCCCACCCCATGCCCATACCCACCAGGCATCCCCTGTGCGGTGATGTGGTGTATACTTGATTCGATAGGCCACAGGATCCATTTTGCCATCTTCCATTTCCAGCTTCATCCGCAGTGTGGCCTCACCCTCTGCAAACTTGCCCTTGCGCATTGCCTGCAGGTAGCAAGTGCTCAGGCTGCCTCTAAGCACAGAAGCACCCCATATTCAGCATCCTGGCCCACCTAGACCCAGCTGCCCTTCCAGGACCCCACCTCAAATAGTAGCAATGACTCCTCCACAGGACGGTCCCTCCAGGGTGAGGGCAGCGGGTTGTGGCCTTTGAGTTCCTCTCCTCGCTGGTGGCACACATAAGCCTGGCCCCTGTGGTGAAGGGATATGAGCTTCCAGCCTGGCCATGGCCTGGTCAGTCTGCCTTGGCTCCATAATAAGGCCCTGATCTTACCTGCGGATAAGTTCCACGGCCCAGGTATATAGCTGGTCAAAGTAGTCGGAGGCATACGTCACCTTGTAAGGTGTATAACCTGGGGCAGAATGAAATGCAGTATGAGTAGCCACCAGGGATACCCAATGGCTGGCCATGGCCCAAGAATAGGTCCATTAGTCCCATCCCTGTCAAGTCCGTACCCAGCCAGGCCACCATGTCATAGATAGCAGTGAAGAACTTTGCTTCCTCCTTCTCAGGGTTGGTATCATCATAGCGCAGAAAACAAATTCCATCATTGGCCTAGAGAAATCACAGTATTTGTGAGCACTTACATCATTGGCCTCCAGTCTAGCTCTCTCAGGGACCTTTTCAGAGTTCATCAAGGTCAGAATGAAAATGCCTTCAAGAGCTTCTCTCATCCTCCAGCATCTAAACACCCCAGAAAAGCCATTTCTTACACCAACTTGGGACACAGTGCATAACCTCTCTGAAGTCAAGGGACTGCAATGGGGATTCACCCAAAGGTCAACTCACTGCCTCACCTCAGATCTTTTTCCCAAGGAACACAATGGATTCCCAGGCATCTGTCACACACGTGGTTCCTCCTCCATGGCCTCTGCCCACTCTGGCCATGTTATCAAGAGCAGCAGGGAAGATAGGGATACCTCTGTGCTATACAGTCAAGGGACCAGTATGTGGTCATCTTGCATGCCAGGTCCCCAGATGCATGCTCACCTTGGCATAGCCAAAGTTGAAATTGATGGCTTTGGCATGTCCGATGTGTAGGATTCCATTCGGCTCTGGCGGGAACCGGGTACGCACCTAAGATAAAGAGATGAGAGTACTGTAACGAAGCTACAGCTCAGACTACCTTAAAACAAGCAAATGCCCCTTCCCTGGGAGGTCATGGTGGAAAGTGGCATGGGGCACTATGGAGGCAACCCAGGTACTCAGTGCTGATGGCACTAAATCGCCAGGCCATTCTCACACATACCTGGCCTCCAGTGATTTCCAGGTGCTGCTTCAGCAGATCCATGGTGTGTGGGGTGGTCAGATAGCCTGGAGTCTTGTAGTTTTCACCTGTCAGGACCAAAACAAGGTACAATCAGGCTGCAGCCCAACATCCCTGCTCGCAGGGTGCTGGCTGCAGGAGCTATCTACCAGGGCCCAGTTCTCCTCAGTGTTTCAACCCACACACTCACCAGGCCTGTGGAACTTGAGTGCCTCTCCTCGGAGCTGCTCCATCAGGGACAGAGCCTGGCCAGCTGCCGCACCTGCAGATGAGACCAAAGAAAACTTGTCTTCCAGATACAGCTACCATATCCCTCTAAGGGAGGTGCCTTTCAGTACCACCCGTATTCTGCAACCAAAACTGACCAGGTTCCTCCTTCTCTAACCCCAGAGACAAAAGATATAGAGCTAGACTCTTATGGCCTCTTCAGGCTTCTCTTTTGGCAAAAGGAATACAAGAAACACTAGGAATCCCAGCCTTGAGGGAGAAGGCAGGTAGGTGCTAAACAAGCCAAGAAGCCTGGGCAAGGCCCAAAAGTCAGGTTGTTGAATGTGATAGGTGCCTCGAGCTTACCATTCTCTACCACATCCTTTGCTTTCCTCCGGTCTGTTTCTTCTGGCCGAGTCTTTACTACCTAAAGGAAGCCCAGAGCTGAATCAAGGTCTCTCCTGGGCAGGGTCTTGTGATCACTAGGGTTACACATTCCCTTCCCCAGGCTGAAATCTCACCCTCCTCCATCACATCCAAGGACCCAGGGCCACAACCAGTCCCACCTTGGATTTCTTGTCCAGATCAGACTCCATCTTAGGACCCAGAAGGTGGAGGACCTGAGTAGAGATCAAAGTCAGGCCTGGAGTACGAGTATTCTCTTTCAAGTAGCTCATGACTGACCTGCTTACCCACCAAAAGATTTCCTTGCCTATGTATAAGCCCCCACTTTGAGAACCTGCTTAGCCCATTCTACCTCAGCTTATAACACGGTTCGGCTGGCCTCAAATGCTCTTTCTCTTTCCTGAGAACCTACATTAGACCTAGGTAACAAGACGGCCATTTACAGTGTGGCTAGCATCAACACAAGTAATATACCTCAGCCGTCACCTTCTTGTGATTCTATGCCAGCAGCCTGAGGTGAAGGCCACATCATCCCTATTTATAGAAGACTGAATCTAAAGTTTAGAGTAAGTGCTTCACCCTAAGTTAGACACAGCATAGCACAGAGGACCAAGTCTCACTGCTTACTCAGGTGCTTCCCCCTCCACACCAAGCTCTACACTCCACTGCCAGAATGGCGACAGGGTCTCCTCTTCTCTTTCACCCTTCAGTGGACTAGGCCCTGTCCATGCGAAGGTCTTTGCCAGCTTTCACCTCAGGGAGGGCCTCACCTGCATGTCCACTTCATGCTTGATCATTTTGCCATCAGCCCACTTGAGAACAGCCCGAGCCTCTCCTACAAGCACAGGAGCTACATGAAGCCAAAGGAGTGTACTTCTTCCCCAAAATCCACCCCCCAAAGAAAGATCCTGGTTGGCCACAGGAGCCAAAGCCTGGCCCAGTCGGAACAATTTTTGGATGCTCTTGCCCCTCGCGCACCTCCTCTCACTCTTGCCCATTAGAGAAATCATGACCTAGGCAAGACAGCCAACAGCCCCAACCTCAGGCTCTGCTTACCCATGAGCAGCCCCATGTTGAAATGGTAACGTTCCAGTAGGAGCTGAGGCTGGTGCCGATTTATGACAGCCTCCACCTGCAAAAGGCCAAACCATATGGTTTAAAAAAGAATCCTTCAGAGACACTCTGAGAGCCCACACCCTCACTCTGGGTCTTCCAAAGTGGAGCAGCTCAGCCATTCATTCCCAAGACCAGTCCTGGGGAGGCAACTTCTGGGGAAAGACTCACTGCCTCCTCAATCTGTTCTGGGGTCACCACAACGTCCACACCACATTCTCGTTCAAAGTCCAAAATGTCGATGGGGTCCAGAGGGTGACTCTTCACATACTCAAGGGCAGCTGAGAAAAAAGGGCCAAAGAGTTTGTGGGCTCTTAGCTCCAAGAATGGACATAGTTTGATCTCCTGCAAGGGTAAGCCCTTGCCTGAGGCTCCCCACTCAGACCTAGATAGTTCCTCTCTGGGTCTTACCAGAGTCTTACCCTTGCCCCATCAATGCCAAGACCCTGCTTTAGAAGAGGAGTGCAGAACTAGGATCTAGAATGTCATGGGGGAGTTGGCAGAAGGGGCAGATAGGGCATCTTGGCTGATAGGAGGGGTTCGAGGTGGTGCAGGCTGGGGTCTCACCGCTCAGCTGGGGCTCGGTGTGGATCTTCTTACTGGCTATGTAGCCCACTAGAAAAGGGAGACGCCGGGAATCCCTGAGTCGGGAGGCCAAGCCATATAGCAAGGTACCGGTAGCCTTGTCGATGGTGCAGCCCAGAGTCTGCTGCGCCTGTGATCAGAGGGATCAGGAGAGAAGCCCTATGCCCAGTGAGAGGCGAGAGCGACAGAAAGGGAGAAACCAAAACCAGGAAACAAATTGGCGCTGCATTGCAGCAATCGACAGCCCCAGCCAGGGCAGAAGGGTACGCACCTGAGTCGCCGCCTCACGCAGCTGCGCGCTTAGAGACGAGTTCTTGAGCGTTTCGTGGGCTTTCTGTTCGCTAAGCCCGAGACCAGTGAACAGTGACAGAGAGTCCATGGTCGCCATCGCTGAGACACCGGAAACCAAAAGAAAACTTTAAGGCCAACCTGTGCATTGGCATTGAACCAGTGACCAATAAGAGAGCGAAGGTGTTGGGGAGAACCAATGGTGTCCTTTCTGGCGGGAGTGGGCGGGGCACTTCTGGGTCTTCGTCGCCATTAAAGGGACGGAAGGCGAATAAACGTGTTCTTCCGGGCCCTGCACTTCCGCCTCCGCGGCCTGAGCCACCTAATGTCGTAGTCGGGACAGCAGGGTAAAGCAGGACACAAGAGAAGATTTGCCGCGGAACTAGAGGGAAGGTGTTCAGCACCGAGCAGAAGGCAGACGCGCTGCGCGTCGATTTTTTCCTACAGCCCTGGGAACTCCATATCGATACCGTTCTCGCTAGCAAAAGTGACAGTGGGTCCAGATCACGTTTTTGACGTCAAGCTTTGGGGTTGTCATAGAAACAGTAGAGCAAAATAAAGCCCGGGAAATTCTTGGTCTAGACTCCAGCTCAGAGAATGTGCAGAAAGGCGAAACGAGGCGCCGCATAAGTCTGGCTGGCACTTTTCTGGCGCCGGCCCTGGCACCACCCCTGCCACCACACCCGGCCAGAGGAGTTTCAGCAGGCACTGACCTTGCAGAGGTTCTGTGATGATAATTCGGTTTAAAATCTCCTGGCCTTTTGACTTCACCCTTTTACCAAAGCTGGCAAATGTTACAGAAACCACAAGCAAATTAGACCTTGAAATTCATCTGCAAACCTTTGAAATGGTATTTTATGAAGTTGGGTTTCCGAGGCTATCATCTTTACTGGAGCAGATTGTCAGGTCTTTTATCCTGCAGAGCAGCTATGTTGCTGTTATGTGCCTTTTAGTCAGACCCGACTCATAGCGACCCCTCCTTGGGTTTGCCAGGCAGTATCACTACGGAAGTAGATTGCCCAACCTTCCTTTTGAGGAGTGGCTGGTAAGTTTGAACCACCAGCCTTCTGGTTAGCAGTCAAGTGCCTTAGGCACTACACTAGCAGAGCAGCTTCTTGTTGTTGTTGTTATTTGCCATGGAATCGGCCCCAACTCATAGCGACCCCTCCTTGGGTTTCCGAGGCAGTATTACTACAGAAGTAGGATTGCCCAACCTTCCTTCCGAGGAGTGGCTGGTGGGTTTGAACCGCCAGCCTTCTGGTTAGCAGTCAAGTGCCTTAGGCACTATGCTACCAGAGCTCCTAGATGGGTTCAGATCACCAACCTTTCGGTGAGCAGCCAACAAGTTTGGACAGAGGAAAAGGAATTGTGAAGATTATAGCTATTGTCCTTGAGAGTTTCCCACAAATCAATCATTGGACTCTGAGACCTGCTAGGAATCTTCAGGTTAAATTAGAACCTACAGACTTTTTTAGCAGGGAGGAATTGTTGCTGCTGCTGGTGGTATGGCAAAGGGTTCCCCAAATCTGGGATTGGAACTTAGGCTCTTAGAGGCCTTGATGTGGCTTATACTCCCGGACCTTCAAGGACTGGCCAGGATCATTACTGCGGACTGTACACATTCTGTATCTTGCTATGTGGCTAATGATCAAGCTCTATGTATTGGGCTATGTATGTGTCGGTTCCACATGATGGCCATATGCCAGGTTCTTCACAGGGTCATACACCTCAGCAATGTCCTGATGCAGTCTTACGTGGAGCTTCCCATTTTCCCACAGCCCCAGATTGATGCCCAACTCAGCTCTATAGTGCACTGCCCATAGGAGGCCAGGTGCAGGGATAGAGCAGGGGATACAGTGCGGTGGTACCACAGATGCACCAGGATGTAGAGCCACAGCCACACCAACCCTGTGCTGAGTTCGCAGCCAAGAAGCAGCATACTGGCCACACTGCAGGTACCCAGCCCACCACAAAGGTGCCCATGATGAGCATAGTCACACAGAGTGCCATCATTGCCATTGTCTCCTCTGCGCATGATGTCACCGAAGGGTCTGCTGCAGCACCATCACCATCAATGAGTCCTGCACCCCCTTCCCAGGTTCCTCATAGTGCCTCACCTGTGGCTCCATGCCACTGAATAGTAAAGTAGCCCCACCAGCACCACAAAGAATGTCACAAATAGCAGTGGTAGGGATCAGTGAGTAGCTAGTCAGTCCTGTGGAGCCTGTGACCAATCCAAGAACAGAGAAGGACTATGAGGTTGTGAGCCCAGTCTGGAAGCCAGTCTGCCTTCATGAACCCAAGTCAATGCTTATAGGGAAATGAAAAGTGACCAAGGAGAGAAGTCAGGCAGTGGCTGTTGCTGTTGTTGTTATGTGCCGTCGAGTCAGACCCAACTCATAGCGACCCCTCCTTGGGTTTCCGAGGCAGTATCACTATGGAAGTAGATTGCCCCATTTGAACTGCCAGCCTTCAGGTTAGCAGTCAAATGCCTTAGGCACTATGCTACCAGAGCTCCCTAGTACCCAAACGCAGCATGTGAAAAGACACTGTCCAAAAGCCCGGCCTGTGTGTCACAACAGTGCCAAACAATAGTGAGTACAGGTGCTGGTAGTCAGCACTGTGGATCAACTGTGGGTAATTACCTTGGGGCCACTGCCAGGAACTGAAAAGTCTAAGGGACTCTTAAGAGAAGGCCTCACAGGGCCCCCCCACTCTCTTTCCCACAGAAAGTCAGCCAAGATTAGTTGTGGTCCTCTTGTCTGTCCTCCTTTCAGAGAAGGGTCACCTGCCTCATTGCATAATGTTTTCTTCCTGCTCTATTCTTCCTGAGAGATCCAGCTGTTCTCAAACTACAGCAAAGGAAGATCTGAGAGCAGGAAGAGAGAAAGAGGATTCCCTGAGATTAGAGCCCAAATCTTAGCTATGCTCCACCAACCTGAGCCTGAAGATTAAGGAGTCAGCTTTTCTCATAGAATGCTATTCTTACAGAATACAAACTGGAGCCAGGATGCCACCTGGTCACCTTTGCAGATTGTATGCTCCAACATGGGCTATGGGTTCCAAAAAGCAATCCTCCCTGAACTTTCTGGCTGTCAGCCCTAGGCTGTTCCACTGCCTGTGATCATCTACCTTTTCTAGAGCCTTACTGGTTACTCCACCATCCTTTAGGCATGATATCTTGACAATGATGTCAACCAAAACTACCTCCATGTGGGACTCAGGGCCAGTGGGGACCAAAGGACAGCAGTAAGCCACAGAGCTGATGGCACTGGGAGGTTAATAACCCTCATCCTTCCAGGCTCACCATCTCTTCTCAGACCAGAGTACTTTCAAGGAAACACACACACACACACACACACACACCCCATCATGGGGAGGGGAGGTGGACGTAGCACCTGGTGCATCACATTCACTAAGTCTGCTTATCATTATTTATTTTTAAAATATATTTAAACAGCAGCAATCACTTCTAAAATGCAAAAAAAAAAAAAAAATACAATTTTTAGAATAAAATTAATGTTTATAATGCGAATCAGAAAGAATTGAAGGTACAACTGAGAATCAAATCACGCAGCACTGGAGGTGGCTGGAAAAGTCAAAGCCCACTGTTCAGGGGGCCAAGCTGACAAAAGGATCCCACTTGAGGCATCTCCATCCCCAAATCACACCCAACTCCCCACTGATGGAGCCAGTGTCCTCTGGGTTAGAGAAGGAGAGGGGCAATGAGCTGGCTCTCTGTTGGGGATTCCCCAAACCCAATCCCCCCACCAGCCAGGGACCTGCTAATCGACCTCCTCCATGTTGCTGTAGGTGGGGGCTGGGCGGTCCACAGGGGGGGCGAAGCGCTCAGGGGCTGTCCGTGGGGGGGCCGCCTCGGGGGCCTGGCCAGGGCCTAGTCCCTGCAACAGAATATGAGGACAAGGGTTGGGGGCTGCCCAGCATGCCGCCTGGCATCCCGGGGGTGCTGGCTCAGAGCCCCGGCACCCAAGGGAGGGGCCCAAGGCAGGCGCAGACAGCAGCGGCATTGAGACAGAGAGACGAGATTGGGCCTGAACAGTCTCGCTTTATTAACACTTTAAGTACAGGAAGCAGCTTGGGCAGGGCCAAGCCCCAGGCCGAGTCAGAGCAGTAGGACGAGGTTATACAGCTGGACGGATAGCTGCCCTGGGACACTTTGCCCCTGCTGGGGCTATAGTACCCACCCTCTCTCCCCAGATGCACACATTGAGGCCCAAAGCCCAGAGTCAGTCTCCACCACAGAGGCAGCATGGCCTGGCAGGTGGGCCAGCTCACAGCAGCTGCCTGCAGGCGAGCTCATCTCCAGCGACTCTGGGACACCAGAGGATAGAACACGTTGAGCACGAGGGCCACCAAAGCTGCCACGGTGCCCAGGACAAAGTACCGGAGGCAGCCCTCATCTGGTGTGGTGGAGCCACGTGGCGGAGGGCCCACCCAGTCTTGGGGTCCCCAGGGACCCAGGGGCCCAGGCCCCTCAAGCACCGGTTCCTCCTCGGCCTCCAGCTCCTGCCAAATCCGGGAAGCCTACAGTGTGTGGAAACGGTCATCAGCACCCAGGGGGTGAGGGGACCCAGTGTCCCTGTGACCGCTGGTGCCCAACCCACCACAAAGGTACTCATGATGAGCTAATAGAGTGCTGCCATCACCACTGTCTCTTCTGCACATGATGCCACTGAAGGATCTGTTACAGCACCATCACCACCACCACTAAGTTCTATAGGTCTGGCTCACAGAGGACAGAGTTGCCAATCCCAGGGCAACCTCCTGGCTCCTTCCCACCCATGTTCAGATCCTTACCATTACCTTCTACTGGGAATTCTCTGAACCTAGATTAGAGAGGGTTCAAGGGAAGAATGGGAGCAGCAAGGAGGATACTAGTTCAGAAAGGAGATGTGGCTGTACACCACCAATTGGGCCTATGATACCCCATCTCAACAACAGAGACAGAAGACCTCAAAGGCTCAGTGGGGACAGAGGCTCACCTCAGACAATGGGACTGCCACCAAGGGCTGTGGCCAACCCAGACAGGCCCTGTCCTAAGTGCCCACCAGAACACACGGATGATAACAAAGGAAGGTCTGGGAGCTGGTTAATGGGAAG